ATCAAGAAAGGTAATCTGAAAGACTGTGTTAGTCGATAACGTCAGAAAGCTCGGTGCCCTTGAAGAGATCGTAATAGCTTGTCGACGATTACTAAATCTAAAAACATCAGAAGAATGAGGTACTTCCAATCAGTAGAATTGTGATGATAATGAAATAGTGTTTTCAGCTAAAGCTAAGATAAAGCTTGATGCATTCTGAACCCTTTCCCTCTCCCCTCCTATATGTAGTTCAATCTCCGTGGTTTAGGTAAGGCAACGAAAGAACATCTTATACGTCGCAAAGGAACTTACCCTGGCCATGATTTCTTTTAACAAACTTCCGAGATCCTTCAAATCCCGAGTTCTCCTCGCTTTTTCATCATCATAATCATAGAAAGGGACTTCACCAATATAGTAGTTGAAATATTCGCAGAAGTTGAGAATTGGCCTTCTAAATACGCAAAACTACGTTCAAGCACTCATAGACGAATTAAACTCACTTCAAACAAGCATCGGAGAAACGTAACGTCGACTTCGAGCACCAGATAGAATGAGGCACAATGTATCCATGACATAATTTTTGGTCGTGCAAGTACCTCAAAGCACAGACAGCACTTGCCGCCAGCCTTCTCAGAAAATCCTAGAAAAGATGTTTAATAAGACAGTGTATGCATACTGGAAAAATCCTCTAAAACCTCTCTTCGGACGGTATCTGAGCATTCAAAGAAACATTGTTCATCGTCCGCAATTTTCTGGGCAACGTGTATGATCACGTGAAAGTTCATAGGTGAAAGGGAGATCTTCTCGACATGGACAAAATCATATGGGATTATAGTTTCTTCATAATTATCAATGGAGGAGAGAGTTTTGCCAAGAGTTTCAATCTGCTCCAGTTTCCTAAAAAAATGTTGACGATATACTTCACTTTGAATAACAAGAGAACAAATCCACTTGTTGTCAGGAAAGATTGATTTCAGGTGTTAACAAGGATGGCTTACTCAAGCAAAACACAGTATTTTTTGTCCTTGATACTTCTTGGGGCCTTGCTATTATTCTCTTCACCACAAAGCAAAGTAAATTCCGACATGAGAAGGGTTTGGCCCTGAATAAACATCTGTAAACTCGCTTGAGATAAAAATAAAATCACGCACTTCTTTGTTGAATCCATAATATTCAGAGCACATAGGATGTCGCGGTCTGGTCAGTATTTCGG